CACACACACACACGCACACACACACACACACACACACATACACACACACACACGCACACACTCGAATGTGTTGTCATCTACAGGGTGACATGAAGAATGACGTGTTCCCTCATGAGATCCGCCATGCGTTTTACATGGCGGCTGCTTTGCGTTGGCTCGGCGCCAGTTTGTCAGTGTATCAGGTGTGTGGTTATCTGCCATGTCTGAACATGATTGTTATTAGAATGAATACACACACACATACACACACACACACGCACACACTCGAATGTGTTGTCATCTACAGGGTGACATGAAGAATGACGTGTTCCCTCATGAGATCCGCCATGCGTTTTACATGGCGGCTGCTTTGCGTTGGCTCGGTGCCAGTTTGTCAGTGTATCAGGTGTGTGGTTATCTGCCATGTCTGAACATGATTGTTATTAGAATGAATAAGTGTTGTGAAATATGATCGTTGTAGTGAAGCGGTGGTCATGCAAAGGTCTGAAAATCGCAGCAGCAGCGGGCCTCCGACAGCAAACCAGCATGCCTCCTACTACAACTACTGTTGATCATCACAATAACCACCGCTCCTACATAAGGCTCCAGCACACCCACGACCTGGGCTTCTGATAATGGATGGATGATTTTTATTTGATTTGCTTCAGTCACGGTTGTCGACTGGTTAGCACCGCCGCCTCACAGTGCACAGAGGTGCAGGGTTTGAATCTGACTTCGGCCTTCCTGTGTGGAGTTTGCATGTTCTCCCCGAGCCTGCGTGGGTTTTCTCTGGGTGCTCCAGTTTCCGCCCACATTCCAAAACCATGCCCGACAGGTTAATGGAACACTCTAAATTGTCCCGAGGTGTGATTGTGACCGCGAATGATTGTTTGTCTATGTGTGCCCTGCGATTGGCTGGCAAGCAGTTCAGGGTGTCCTCCGCCTACTACCCGAAGACAGCTGGGATCGGCTCCAGCGCGCGGGCGACCCTTGTGAGGATAAGCAGATCTGAAAATGGATGGATGGATGGATGGATGGATGGATGGATGGACGGATGAGTGGATGGTCTCTATCTGTCCTTGTCAGTTTGTTGATTGTGTCGGTGGTCTCTGCCCAAGTTGAATCTAGTCATGTCTTCCTCGTGTTTATTTTGGAATACTTTTGTTATTTGGCTATTTTAAGAACCCAAGTACATTGTGTGTTTTGTTCCTTTTGTCAAGCAAAGTCATTCGAATATGCCTTTCCCCCCAAAAAACACACACACACACACACACACACACACGCACATACACACACACACACACACACACACACACACACACACAAAATGCATTTTATAACAATGGTGAAACAAAATCGATGAATAGGTGAATCTGTGGGTGGCACGGTGGACTACTGGCTAGCACGTCCACCTCACAGTGCAGACGTCTGGCACCAGCCTTCCTGTGTGGAGTTTGTATGTTCACCCCGTGCCTGTGTGGGTTTTCTCCAGGTACTCCGGTTTCCTCCCCCATTCCGATCAAAATAATGCCTGGTAGTTTGAACGTTGTAATTCATCAATGTCAGACTCCGGCCTTCGAGGGCCGCTTTCCTGCATGTTTTCCAGCTCTCCCTGCTACAGCACACTTGATTCAAATGATCAGCAAGCTTTGCAAGGAAATGTAACCAGTAAAAGTAGAAAGTAGACTCATAAACATTCAGTGAAGTACAAAGTCCTGGGGAAAAAAATGCTCAAGTACACAATGCAAGTATTTGCACTTTGTGACTTTTTCCCATCTCTGCTAATGAGCTGCTTGACCTTTTATTTGTCCTCCGTGGATTCATCAAGTCATCCGTTCAATGTTCCTGCGAGAATTGACAATCCTTTGAGGAAAAACAACCTGAAAGGTCGCACGGCATCTAGGGACTTTTTCCATTGCCATCATAAACTAATGATAATGATGATGATGAAAATTTCGTTCTCTCTTGAGGCTTGCCTTCGGCACAACACAACTTAGTTTTTTCTTTTTCCTCTATGTGAACTGTCAATCAACCAGAAACCCAGGAAGACATTATGTGGCAAAATCTACTTTCACTTTGAATTGCTTGACCTCACCAATCAATCACTCCAGACTGGCTGGATAATGGACAATGCAAAACGTCACAACATACAAGTGACCTCAAGCTCATAGTGGAAGGGAGGAATGAAAGAATGATTTCAACTTGGTGCAGAGACAGCACCCTTCAGATGTCACTCTTTTACTAAAAGGAGCGCGTCCCACGCAGAATTCTCAAGATGTCCACCCCAAAAACGTTGCGAGCCCTCAGTGGGACAATCGCTGCAGACACCCGATGGATGAATGGATGGATGCACTTGAAGAAATAAATTCAAATCTGACAGCTCTGTTGCTGGAATAGACCCTTAAAAAATACATAATACATTTTACAGAATAAACATGTTCCGAGTCGACCCAAAATAAGACTTTTAAGTGGTACGTTAAATATCCCTTTTCGGAATGCGCTAACTCTGCTGCTAATTCAATGAAATATTAAATGCTCGGTCGGCACTGCCTTCTTATGTAAGTCTTATGAGAAATGTAATAAAACTTTGGCCAAAGGTTAAAAAAATTGCAAAATTATCAACGCCACAACTGGAAAATTTAAACCCAAGTCTAAAATATGTTTTCACTAATTGACGAGACAGTTTGACGTAAAATCGACAGAGAAATATTTGGATTTGAAAATTTGTGAACGTTAACAAAATAGCAACAAAATATGAATGTAAATTTCTTCTATTTACTTTTTGATTCTGTACTGATCAGACAGCTTCTTGTCAATGTTGTCAACACACATTTTTAACAGTGTGCGATTCGAAGTTCCACGCCGCTCTCACACGTCACTTGTGCGCCTGTCTGCGCACGCGCGAGCTAGACGATCATCCATCTTGGGGCTATAAAAGATGGCTGACGGGCGGGAATCGGGTGACAGGTGAATCCACCTGACACGGGTGAGTCTTGGCTTGTCTTTTTTTCGTCGACTGCGCACGCGCCCGTACACGACACATCTTTGTGAACGTCTACATTGTATTTTCTGATGATATGATTGCCCCACAGCTCGTGTGATGTCAATGACGTGCTTCACATTGCTTGCTGTGCTTTCCAAATTACATTGTGGTGGGCGTTTCGTGCGGGGTCATCATCCGTCACGTCATTTATCTGTTAACGTACATCTCGTCATGACAAATGCCGTCTAGCGGCAGAAGAATCGCCAACTGCTCCGTTCGGTGGTCAAATTGAGTTGCCGGCAATCGCGCAACACGAGGAGTCGGCCTCCCTGGCAAGTTTTTTTTTTTTTTTTTTTTTCAACCGAACAGGCCCGTCCGTGTTCGCATTCGCGTGACATTTTTTTCTCATGTTACATTGTCTTGATTTGGGCAAGTCAATGTCGGAATTCTGCGATTGACTGTAAAATAATGTTCAACAAAATCCTCCACTGAAACCGAATGTTGTGCTTTGTTCTTTGGTAGGCGGCGACATGAGCGGAATCGCATCGGCCAACGCCAGCGCCGTCATTCAATACCGAGACTCACTCGGCAAAGCGGTGGCCAAGAACCTGCTGGTGCTCGTCATGGGACTGTCCATCAACTACATCAACTTCGGCCTCATGTACACCTTCTGCAAGCACCAGGTTGGAGACCGTCTTGGAATTCGGTGGCCCTTTGACTTTGAGCAAGGCTGTCATTAGAGTTCCTACAGTTTTGTTGTGAATAATTACAAGTACATATGTCAAGTTTTTTTCATCTCAAATTGCATCTGAAATTTGTGAACGAAAGCGACCGGGATTTCAAGAGCGTGTGATATTACAGGTCACACTGGATCGCTCGGGATTCTCATATAATTTGATCAATGACACTGACGACATACCCCGCTTAGTTTCCTTTTGGAAATCAATGAATTTTACTCGTCGGGGTATATTAATTATTGGCAGTTTTCATTCAATTGATTCAAAGAAAAACAACCTTTTATGGGTTTGCAGGGAAGCTAGGAGGCAAGGCACTAACTAATGCTCTCAAAAAAAAAAAAGGGATTTATTTTTCAAAAAAGGAAAACGAGGGCGGTGGAATCCCGAAGAATTTTAACAAAAGTCCAAAATAACAAGGGTCAAAGTACGCGCGTGGCACTGCAAGACAATGGTGGACTGACACTAACTTTCCATGTTCAGATCTTCTACTGGGACCCTCGCTACATCCTGTTCTTCCACCTGGTTGTGAACGACATGATCCAGATGAGCCTGAGCGTCATCCTCTTCGTGATCAGCTACACACTCTACAGGATCGCCGTGTTTGTGTGCGCCCCCCTCCTCCTGATAGCCGTCACCGCCACCGAGAACACACCCCTCAACCTGGCGTGCATGGCGGCCGAGTGCTACGTGTCCGTGTGTCTTCCGCTTCACCACGCCCGCATCTGCACCGTCAGGAGGACTCTGCTCCTCATCGCCTTGATCTGGACCGCCAGCCTCGTCTCCACCCTGCCGGACCTCTTCGTCACGCTGGCCACCGAGCCTCTCGAGTTCTTCTCATCTCGAGTCTTCTGCATCCGCCAGAACGTCTTCCCCAATCCGCTGCTGGTTCGGAAGCAGGAGCTCTCGTACATATGCTACCAGTTGCTTGTGTGGTCGGTCATCTTCTTCACGTACTTCAAGATCCTCTTCGCGGTCCAGTCGGTCAGCAAGGACGCCAAGAAGGCTCGGAGGACCGTCGTCCTGCACGGCGTTCAGGTTCTGCTGTGCATGACCACCTATGTTGCTCCAGTGCTCAAGGAAGCTTTGCTCGGCTGGTTCCCCGAGAACTACCCGGACACGCTGTTCGCCTGCTATCTCATCGTTCAGGTCCTGCCCCGCGCCATCAGCCCCATGATTTACGGCGTGAGGGACAAGTGCTTCAGGAAGTACCTCAAACGCTACCTGTTCTGCAAGAGTGGTGCTGACTCTGCGGAAATGACGAGCAAGAATAACAAAACAAACGCCAGGAGCGATAACAAAGACCAAAGGCGAGAACAGCAACAAACTCACTAACCAGATGAAAAAAAAAAAACGCAGACGACTGCGAAAGCCCTTGCTGCTCTCGTCAGTCAGCCACCTCAGGGGCTGACATGTTGACATTGTCCCGCCCGCTGCCGTTGACTGGAACGGACCTGGCCTCGGGCTCGCATCGAAGACATCGGGACCCAACTTTTTATTTTTTTTTTTTTTTCCGGGTATGGTCGCGTGACGGCCGTAATGCGAGCCAGAGCGTACTTTTGCTTTCAGTTTCAGTCGAACGATCTTTGCCTTGACCTTGCCATTCACAACTTGACTGCAAACTATATGTGTAGCTTATGCCTGTAATTCACTTCTGGCTCGTCCAAAAGAACTAAATTCTTCGTAGCCATTTCAGATTTCTGCCACACGAGGTGCTGCTTGCCATTTATGTGCGTCTGCTTTGTTATTGCAGATAACTACAAGTCACTTCCAGATACCCGCGAGTGAATTAGAACTGCAACTGAATTGTAGATCGCCGCAACTCTGGTTTGATAGATCCACGATTTTCATTTTGACTAAATTCCAGTCACATAGACTGAAAAAAAGAAAAGTTAAGAGTCCAAAACATTGGAGTGTTACAATCAAGGCTTGTCTGGATTTGGGCCGTTTTAATATTGGCTTGAGGTGTTTTGCATCATCACCCGCATTTTTAAAAACATTGTTTTATTCATATTATTGCAACTTTGGTGATTTGTTGTCTTTTTCAAAATATGGAAATGCTCTCCAAAACATTTTGAGGGAAAAAAATATATATATGTTCCTCTGCAGGGGTCTGCAACCAAAATACTCAAAATAGCCTTTTTGCCTCCCATGAGAAAATAAAAATCCACACAGAAAGCCACTAATCATAGAAAGTGATGTTAAAACTGCATATACATTATCATTGTTGTCTTTTGACCAGTATCTAGAAAATAAAGTGTGTTGCATTTATGAAGTTAAGACACTGCGACAAAGAACATGAAATTTCATTTCTGCATTAAGAAAAAAAAAAAAACTTTCAAACTCTATAAACAGTCACTTGGATGAAGCTTTCAAATAAAATAGTCAATGTCTGCTAAGGTCTTGCATTTCTAAAATTTAAGCATAACTTGAGTTGCGCACTTGCAGCCAACCAAACTTTCTGTCATCATTTGAATTCAAAAGCAACGTCAAACACACTGCATAGTTGCAAAATCGGGTTGCCTCAGCGCACAAAGTCGCGGGCACAGCTGTCATCTCCGGGCAGGGGCGAAGCTAAGCCATGGCCGACGTTTGCCTCGGGCCACCCTGCGTCAAGGGGAAGAGTTTGATCAATGTGATTGTGCGGCGCAGATGATGAAGTTCCGCCTTGCTGCCACCGTGATTCAATCTAAACTGTTGAATCGATTCACGTTTTCTTTTTTTCTGAACTCGGGATTGCAAGCATTGGAATGCCAGAGCACGGCGAGAAATGAACACATGAAATAACTAACTGGATTTCGGCCTGTTTGGCACAAACAGTTAGTTGCACCTTTCCCAATCGAGGGACTCCACGGGCCTCTCTGCTCGATCTTCTTGACATCATTCAACGAGCATGAAAAGCAAAAGAAGGGTGGCGAGGTTCCCTGGGAACTTTACTGCTTGTTCTCCTTTTCGCAAAAGATGCAAGTTCTGCATAGGTAGCGTTTCCTGGCGCCGCAGGGGAGGGGGTCCCAGTTGCGATCCCAGCTGTCCTCCCCGTCGCCCGGCGAGTGCTTGATGGCCACGCAGGAACCTTGCGCGTCCTCACCCGTGCGCCCGTTGTCTGCCTTCCAAAATGAGACGTTCGAAAGCGGGCGGTCGTCGGACCACTTGTAGCCGCCGTCTTGGTACGACAAGCCAATCCATACTTCATAGTTTTCTCCGACGTTTTGCAGTAAAAAGTTCGTTAGGAACTTCTGCTCACGGGCGTTGTCGATTTGAACGAAATCACTGCCCTTTTCCTTACAGTCTTGTTTGGCATTGCTCCATCTGTTTTCTTCCGTGGACAAGGCGTAGCAATGTAAATTGTGCCTCACCCAGCCTTCCTTGCAGCACGTCTGGAGTCTCGTTTGATGACTGCTTTCCCCACAGAAGTGTGTGTACATCAAATCGGCGGGTATCTTCAGTCCGTCCGAAAGCTGCCACTGACACTCCTCAATAGTAATTTTCATAGATCGGAGAGCACCGGAGTAAAAGTTCGCGGTCGACTTGAGTTGTTCAAAGTTGACCTGTAGTCCAGCCATCCTCTTCTGCATGCTTGAGTTAAGTACAGATGTTGCGTTCACTTTAGTCTCGATTGCGTTCATTTCTTCCCTGAGCTGCTGATACCGCTGCTGGAGAAGGTCCACTTGTAGTTGCGTGCTTTCGATGTTTTTCACCAGTTTGTTCAGGAGCATATTTCGGGCTTTCAGTTGTTGCTTCATCTGGTCTAACTTTGAATCGTTGATGTACCAGCCAGCCAAGGTACAAATGAGAATCAACGCAAAGCCCACGAAGCAGCAAAAACCTCGCCCCGGCACCCAGGATGTGACCTTGCATTTGGAGGCCTCTTCTTTTGCAGGAGCGTCGTACAACACGCTGATAGAGAGAGAAAAGAAATGCTGGGATTGGAAGCATCGCAATGCCGGGAGCGTGGCGAGAAATGAGCACAGTGAAGAACCTGGAAAGTCAAGGACCTAGCTCACTGCTGGAGACGGGAGAACAAAATATGGCTGCCGTCTTTGCAGGCTGCTACTATATGTGTGTGTGTGTGTGTGTGTGTGTGTGTGTGTGTGTGTGTGTGTGTGTGTGTGTGTTTAGGTATATGTGTGTATAGATATGGGTGATTCTCAGGAAATATGGTGCAGCCAGATGTTTAAACGCTGACCTACTTTGAGATATACTTATATATATATTTTTTCCTTTTCCAATTGCTCACCAGATGTCACTGCTTACAATACTGAAAGCTGAGATTTGTGCTGTCGTGTGTCTGTGAATATATTTTGAGGGGTGGTTGTGTTGTATCATTTTGTTCTTATGACTTAAAGATGGCGCCGTGAGAGTGGCTGCCTTTGCGGCAACTCCGATACTTTTTGTTCTTCTACTTTCTTCCTTTCAGAATTTTGCTGCTGCAAATTGGGAATTTCACCATTGTGAGACGAATAAAGGTTTTTCTTATTCTTATTCTTAAAATGGCAGCCGCCACCTCTTCGTGACACGCTGACACACCTGTGTAATTAAGAGACCTTTATACCCTGGAAATGGATCAGCTTACAAACTGTTGCCACTGATAAACCGGCAGAATGTCACTGCAACACAATACCGTTCATCTGGGTCCGAAGCTGTCAATCATGTAACAATACATCGGCAGGGGAAAAAAAAAAATTATATTCTGCATCTTACCTTCTGTTTTCCATGAACTACCTCTGATGATTTACAACTGTAATGTACGGTATATACCCACCGGAATAACTTTAGTAAGTTGAACCGGGAAGTTCATGTTGGCCATCGTTCACCATTCAGAGGTCATTTTCGTATGTATATTTGTTCATTTGTATTGGGTTTTTCAGCTGAATATCTTTGGAGGAAGGAAGTGAAGGTATTCAAACGTAAAAAAAAACAAAAAACATTTAAAAGTCTTATTTACTTGGTGCTCAGGTACCAAGCGCTCCAATATGAAACCACGGAGGCCACAGCATTCCACAATGTCTTGCGCCAAAGTCTCCATATCAGGTCCCCAACATGTCTCCAAGCCAGTGAGCTAGGCCCTTATATTCACAGATTTGTGTCTGAATATATTTGAAATTATGGAAAATAATTGCTGAAAAGTCTGTTAACTACTATATGTTGGACTCATTCTACTCACTCTAGTGACTCCACATCCTAACAGCACTAGTAGCATGGCAAAGTCACTCCACTCTGGCACGACGTGGATAGGTGCCATTTCTCCACCCAGGCCAAGTATTCCGGCGGCGAGATTGGAAAAGCGAACAGCGTGAACGGAGCTCACCTCATTTCAATGCTGTCGGCACTCAGACGCTTGGGGTCTGCGACACTGAAACCAAGACGGCATGGGTGAGTTGGCACCCCCACCAAAGTTTTTTTTTTTCCCCCCCATTCCTTAAGTTTGTCAAGGTCACGTTCATCACACAAACGCTCTTTAACGTAACATTTTTTTAAATAAGCAATTAATGCAGGCCCCATATTTGGAAGAAGATCAGTCATGTAAGTAACATCATCAGTTCTAGTTCTGTGAAATATTGATTTACCGGGACTCTTAATTTGAAAAGAAACATTTTCTGTTCCTACGGTCAAACACGAAACGTTATTGCCACCTGGTGGTCGAAAAATAACATCAACACAAATCTTTGACCGCAATCTTTTACACTCCTCATCCAAAGTACTTTTTTTTTAACTTCAAATAACCTCATGAATGACTATAAAATTACTGAATCAATGAAATTAAATATCTACCGATATTTGTATGTCGTAAACATATTTGTCCACATTTGTCAATTAATTAACAAGCGTGGAAACATTGAAGATATATGTCAATGATCGTACATTTAGAAAAGACATCAAGTGAGTTAACTATGGAAATCGTGGCATTAATTACAACTAAAAATGACTGGAAGACTGAAAAAGTGAACAGTGTGAAGAGCTCACCTCATTTTAATGCTCTCCACGCTGAGACGCTTGGTGTCTCCAACACTGTGGAATGAAGATGGAATTGATGAGTCAGCAGCAGATGTTTGGTTAAGTGGATCTAAGTTTACATTATTTCGATTTTCAAGGTGACCAAACTGTTTACGACAACTTTGTATTTCTCAGGTAAACTCATCTTCCCAGTAATTTAAGTGACCGTCAAAGAAGGCCATGTCATTTTTAATGTTCCTGGTTTGGTCACGAGCCCCAGAAACTCTTTGGGAAGTTATTGTCGCACGCCATCTTTTTCCACACGGCGATGTTGCCGTACAGTGGCGGTGGTACGGTGTTGCCATGAACCGAGCTGGTTAGTGGTCTTGAACCAGGGTCACCTCTGTGACGATCTTAACTACTTGGCCACAGCTGTCCTGCACCATCCTCGAGCTCACCTCGTTTCCATGCCCTCGGCACTCGGACGCTTGGGTTCCTCGACGCTGAAACGAAAACGGCACGGATGAGATGACGGCAGCAGCACGTGATTTAGAACAAAGATGGCCGCTGTGGAAATCTTCAAGGATGATGGGTTTTGCAATCAGTCCATATCTGTTACGTTTTGATTTTTAAAGTACTGCGTGTGTGCATTTGGCGCTGCCTTCCTTGATCTCTTCTGTACAAAAAAAAATTGTATCATTCAACTCGATTTGCTGATACCTGCAGAAACCCTGATAACTGTTGAATTAACCATTCATCCATTTTCTAATCCGCTTATCCTCACAAGGGTCACGGGCGTGCTGGAGCCTATCCCAGCTGTCTCTGGGCAGTAGGCGGGGGACACCCTGAACTGGTTGCCAGCAGATCGCAGGGCACACAGAGACGAACAACCATCCGTGCTCACAATCATACCTCGGGACAATTTTTAGAGTGTTCAATGAACCCCATGCATGTTTTTGGAATGTGGGAGGAAATAGGAATACCCGGAGAAAACCCACGCATATGCCAACTCCACAGAGGAAGGACGGAGCCCGGATTCGAGCCCACGGCCTCTGCACTTTGAGGCGGATGTGTTTTCTCGTCGTCCATCATGCAGCACTCTAATTTCACGATTATTCTAGCACTGTAATTTCACGATTATTCTTGATAAGATATGATGAGGAGGATCTCGTGGACTGTTACCTGTCCTGCGCAGCCTCTGTCGCTGGAGCCAGGGCTGCCGGTTCATCCACTTGCTGCTCATCAACATTTTCTGGCTCTTCTGTTTGATTGTCCATACCGCAAACAAAACAAAACAAAACAAGCCCCCCTCCCCCCACCCCCTCCACCAAACCAAACCCCAAAAAAAAAAAAAAAACACCGAAGGCTGCGCTTTACGTCCTGGTCGTCGTGGCGTCATTTACCCGACGCCTTTGCGTTGCGTGTGTCAACCGTCTCGTCAGAGAAACCGCGCGAGCATGTGCGAGTTGCTGAGCTTTGCCCAATGCCATCTCGTGCAACCGAGCTAGCCGACTTTTTTCAGTGCATGCAAAACGCGTTGTCCGGTACCACATCACCACCACAACTGAACTATTCGAATCTCCGTCGGCCAATTTTCACACGCTTGTGCGGTTAATCTGACGAGGCGGGCGACCCGCAATCATACAAAGAAGTTTGACAAATGACGTCATGAAGGGCCAGACGTAAGCGGCGGCTGCACGCGCGAGGGCCGGGGTGCGTTTCTTTTTTTTTTTTTTCTCTTTTTCTTTTTGATCGCTTCGTCTTGTTCTCGCTATGGACAATTGGAGCGAGGAGGCAGAAAATGTTAGTGGCAAGCAAGTGGATGACGCAGCAGCCCCGAGCGAGGCGACAGAGGCGGCGGGCGAAGACACGTAAGACAATCCCCAAAATCGTCATCATCGTGAGGCATAATGACAAGAACAAAATGAAGTTGAAATGTAGACACGTCCGTGAGTAGTTTCTGAGTGAGTTGATGCTTTTCGTCAGTCCTTCTCAAATTTTATTTCAATGTAAAGCAGCACCCCCACCCCCCACACTTGATGTTCACATGTCTCTGGGGAGGGAAATAGTTAATATCCATGAAATGTAAAATACTGTGGTGATTGATTTGATATTTCCAGACGTTGGCGTGTGCTTAGGTGGTGTTGTGCGCGTGAATTTTGGTGGCGATTGGTCGTAGTTTTCTCACGTTAAGCCTTTTTTTTACACGCACGTGAAGCGTTTCAGACTGTCCCAAAGTTGCGCTGACAGTTCCGGCTGTTATTCGAACCTTTGTCCTTATGTGACGTAACTAAAAACAGCTGATCGAGTCTGGAGACCTTGAAAATAAGGTGCCGACCCGCAGCTACGCTTCAACCTGCTTCCGCCATTGAAGGGATGGTTGTCTCCAAGTTGTGTGGGAGCATGTAAGCCCCCTCGTCCCCGAGGAAGATGCTGTCTCCACTCCATCAAAGAAGACAATACAACGCCACAGCGTTCCATGTGACGTGTGCATGTTGGAATTTAAATGTATTCCTATTTGTGTGCTGCTGCTGCCGACTCATCCGTGCTTTTTTTTCGTTTCAGCGTTGATGCCCCTAAGAGCCTGAGTGGCAAGAGCATGGAAATGAGGTGAGCTGTTCATAACGGCTTTTCAAATTTTGAAAACTGGAAAACTCGGCCTTGTGTTGGGAAGCCTTGTGTTGGGAAGCCGCGCCTATCCGTACACAATATCGACCTGCCGGAGATAACGATAACCCACGGTGTTCTTTTGGCCCAATTTTCATCCATCCTCATTGCGTCGTACCTGCTGCTATTAACTAGTGCTAAGTTAGCCTGGGTGTCTCTGGTCTGACGTCCAAGTTTGCAAGTTTGCTTACTCAGAGGCCACATGACAAATCAAAGACAAAGTGCTTGGCAGAGGAATTGAAATGTCATTATCCGGTTCATGAAAACACTTGTGGGTTTCCCACTCAAAGAAACCATGCTTTCATTGCGATAGCTCCACAAAAGTGCCATAGTCGAAACTTTACGCATGTTTTCACTGTTCAGGGTCTTTAATGTGATCTTTTTCATGGTGTGTTCTGGTAATGCAGTGCTTCCAATCTTCCTTTCTTTTTCACCAGCGTATTGTATGACGCTCCGGACAAAGAAGAGGCCTCTAAAATCCAAGTCGGGTGTTGCGTGCCCGGACGAGGTTTTTGCTGTTTGCTGGGACTTGTGTTCATGCTCCTTTCTATCGTGACTGGCTGGTTCATCAACCATTCCAAGTTGGAACAGCTGAAACAACAGCTGAGCTCCCTGGAAGAAAATAATTTACTCGTAGAAACACTGATAGAAATGGTGCAACGCACACCCGGGCGTGTGGATTATCTACTGGAACAGGATCAGCAGCTAAGGGAACGTCTCAACGCTCTAGACGAAGCTAAAGTTGATATACGAGTGCTACAAAATGCAAGTCTGCAAATAGATGCACTGCAGCTCTTTCATCAACAAGTCGACGTGGCGGTGAACTTGCTCAAGGATGATCTGGCCGCTGTGAAAAGGGCTGTACAAGACCGTCAGGAGCTTCTTTCAGACAAACTGGAGGAGCAACTGGCCACGCTGTACGCCAATTTTTGCGGCACGCCTGAAGAACGAGGGCATCCCATCAGATGCTGCAAGGAAGGCTGGGTGAAAAACGCTTCACATTGCTACTGGTTGTCTGAAAGGATAAGAAGTTGGGAAGGCGCCAGAAAACACTGTGTTGCAAAAAATAGTCTTCTAGTTCGAATTGATGACTTTGAAGTGCAGAAGTTTCTAACCCATCTTATAAACCAAAGCTACTGGGAGTCAGTAAACGATCATCTCAGCGATGAGGAGAAAAGAGAAAAAATCACACCGGTATGGATCGGCTTGTCGGATCAGGAGACGGAAGGTAACTTCATGTGGGTCGACGGGAGCCCGCTCTCGACTCCGGTATTTTGGCGGCCTCGGGAGCCAAACAACATGGCGCAAAGGTATGTTGACAATGTCGTCCTAGATTCTGATTGCGTGGTCATGAGGTTTGACCCTACTGCCAGTGACCTGTACAACAGCTGGGATGACCAATTGTGCAGAGGAAAACGGTTGTACTTTTGTAGAGCTTGCATATTTTGCAATCCTCCTGAACAACCCCCTGAGGTTCCAACAAAACCCAAAAGGAAAAAACCCCGCTTGACCACTCGCTCACTTCGACAGGAGGCCAGACTTCATCAAACGGCGGCTCTGCACCCAACGTGCAGCAAAATTTGATCCATTTCTGGCACAGCCATCTGTGATTACTTTTCATGAGTGCAATCAAATCTACAAAACAAAGACAGAAAAGTATGAAAGTTTTTATGACCCACTGTGTACTCTTACCACGCGTGAATAACCTTGTACAAAGTTGTATGTTTTATTTTATGTTTTGCATTGAAAATGTGAATTAAAAAAAAAAAACGAATGTCGCCATGTCTAATGACGTATGTCCAACACAGTGGCGCAAATCGATGGCGCAACACGCACGATCCCAATCCTGAAGTTTTCGCACGATTTTAATTTGCGCTCTCCAACAACACGTCCATTTCTACTCGATGTAAACCTCATTGAGGACGGTAGAGTGTAGTGTGGGTATTTGGATAGAGCTGTAGAGAGACGTCCGTGTCCCGGAAGCAGATTGCTTCGTCACTTCCTGTTTCGTCGCCACACGTGTGTACGTGCCGACTTGTATTTTTATAGTCACGTAGAAAACAAGAACCCAAGACAACCTATTAGTTAGCCATGTTGGAGCAACTGGGTCTGATCGGAACCATCCAGGACGACGAGCAGAGTCCGGAAGAATCCGACAGCGAGTCCGAGCATGAGGTGAGGGAGGCCGGCTCCAGTTGCTCTGCCTGCCCGGGGAAGTTGCACCTCTGGCCGGATCAAGCCAGCCACAGTGCGTGGAAGGAGTCCTCAAAAGAAAAGTAGAAATTTTGGAAGAAAAACTTTGCTACACAATCGATAGAATGGTCCTTGTCCCCCTAATTTTTGATATGTTTACATGAAATGAAATGCTAAGTTCTCCAGTAAGTGTGATGGCACTGAGTTGGTTTGTCATGAAAGTTACTCTTTTATGTGATCAGTTTTATGCATGGAATGGAGTAAATAATCCTGTTGTTGCTTATCAAGTGCGCAAAGGATATCTCTATTATTATTTTTTTTTTTTTGCATGCGAAAATAACTCCAACCAAGCGACAACAGCAAAATTTGAAACCGTCTGAATACTACCGATTCACAAAGGGCCAGGTAGCTTTGAATAGTATTTTATCAAATAAATCACCTGAAAACAACTACATTTAATGTTACGTTTACATTTTCTGTTTTCACATTTCGTATTCTTGACTTTTTTCCATTGGTCAGTTTGCAATTAAAATTGTAACTGTGACCTGCTATATGTTTAACCATCAATATATGTCAAAATTTAGTTTATTCCACTTAACCGGTTAAAAAATATTGCACGACAGGGAAAACGGGTGCAAAGATTATTTGACAACTCATCAGTTATCAAATTAATTCGGAATTATTGTGGTAAATGAATCATTTGAAGACCTTGTTTGATTGAAAGTTGTCCACATTCTGTCATTTCAGACCTACAAAAAGAAGTATATTCTGATTTATGTCTGTTTGTTTACAAAGTGCTCTACATATAAAGTTGAGCTGAGTCAATGAGTCCAAATACAACCGGAGAATTAGAAGATTTACGGGCTCATTCATTGATGGATGTCAGCTGTTTGTGGATGATTTTGAAAATGATCCGAAACCTAAAATGTTGTTAAACAACAGCTGAAATGACCATTGAATTTGCTTGAAGTTTGATTGTGTTGCTAAAGTTGTGATGGCCGTGCGTCCCAGGAAGAACCGATCGTCCTGAACCGGAAGAAGAAGTTTGGCAGCCAAAGTGGCGGCGCCAGAGACTTCAACCATGACTTTGTGTTTGGAGAACGAGACGCGTTGGACCTCGGAGACGACTGGGCCATGGCCGACGTCATGAAGCAGCTCAAGAAGAAGGTACACCTTGGACCTTGCGTCTCTCCCGTCTTGTCGCTATACTAAAAGTTCTTGACATTTTTTCTGGCACGTCGTTTTAATTATGTTGAAATGGAACTTTTTGCTGCCTCTGAGCAATGACTCCCTTTATAAAAGAGATTTTTAATCTCAATGGGATGTTCCCGGTTCAATAGAGGTTAAATAAAAAAATACCCCAAAAATAGAAGAATGCAAATTAGAATATTTTTGATTAAATAGAAAATATGTTTTGAACATTTTTAAATGGAGAGAGAGAGAACGATTCTCATCTGGGCTGACATTTGGCATTTTATTGTCATTGTAAACATGTCACAATGAATTTAGGAGTACTTCTCAATCGGGTGGATAAAGAAACCTGATTTTTTTTTTAATCTGATGGCCTATATGAGATCAATTTCTACCTGTGATAACCTCCGATAACTATTTACTGTAAAACCCTGTGATTAAAACTGATTTTTTTTTTTTTTTGCAAAAAGAATGAGAAAAAAATCCCAAATTGAGAAGAGAAGTTACCGATTTTGTTTCATAAGTTATCAAGTGTAGCCGTTAACATTTGATTTTCCTGCTGATGTGTGCAGAGAAGTCTCACCACTTTGGACCAGAAGATTGAAAAGGTCCGGAAAAAGAGGAAGGCAGAGGTACGTCCCTAATCTACTTCCCATCGGCTGAGCTTCTGTTTCCAGGCGACTGAGTTTCTACTTCCTGTCCGCTGTGCAGGAGAAAGTGTCTGTGGGTGAAGAAGACTCTACGGTGAAGAAAGAAACGGTTGAGGAGGAGGACGTGAAGCCTTGTGATGAGGACAGTGATGACGAGGACGAGTTCAACTCTGATGACGAGCGAGTTCTCACCCAAGCAGGTAAGGCTTTTATTTTGACGGTGTCTCATCTGTTTTGCTTCTGACTTCCTGTTTTCTGCCGGCAGACACGCTGAAGGAGAAGCAACGTCGTGGGAGGAAGAGGAAGGCAGACGAGGAGGCAGAGGTAAAGAAGACCAGTTCGCATAGGCGGAGGAGGAGGAGGGGCTGATCTTGTCACCGCGTGCGTGCGTGCGTGCGTGTGTGTGTGTGTTTAATGACTCTCTTTATGTACATGTGTGCGTGTGTGTTCAGGTGCAGTCATTCCACGAAGATGCGTCGCAGTTTGACGACACACTCAGCTTTGACGACATGAACCTGTCCAGACCAATCCTGAAGGTAAACTTGATGGGCAACGCCGGGCATGGGGGAGAAAAAAAAACCTCAAAATATTTTCAAAAATATTTGAAAAAGGAGAAGAAGGAGGAAAAAAAGTGCAGTCCATCGAAATGCACTGGGTTTGAATCTTGAGGGCCGTCTGAGAGTTCAATCCGCCTAACTGAAGTCAGTCAGTGAGCCTTTCATGTACCACTAGAGGGCACCGATGAGTAGCACACTGACAATGGGCAACATAGATGAAGGTGAACTGCGGGGAAATCCGCCGCACCGAGGGCAGCTCCGGTTGTGCTTCCTCACCAGTGGGTGTGGCGTCTCTTTCAGGCCATCACGGCGATGGGCTTCAAGCAGCCCACTCCAATCCAGAAGGCTTGCGTTCCCGTCGGGCTCCTCGGCCGAGACCTCTGCGCCTGCGCCGCTACCGGCACAGGTACGCCAACTCCCGGGCTCAATTTATGGAGCAGATGCCACTTTCTTCTTCTTTTTCTTTCTGTCCACAGGAAAGACGGCTGCCTTCATGTTACCAGTTTTGGAGCGCTTGGTTTACAAGCCCAGGACGTCCCAGGTGACCCGGGTGCTGGTTCTGGTCCCGACGCGAGAACTGGGCATCCAAGTTCACACGGTGGCACGCCAGCTGGCCCAGTTCACCTCCATCACGACGTGCCTTGCTGTCGGTACGACTGTGCCGGCGAGCCGTGTGCGCACAGACTGAACGTACTGTATTTGTGTGTCTGGCGTGTGTCCTGTGTCCTAGTGCATGTATGTGGACATGGCTGCACGTCACGGGCTGTCACCGTTGAATCATTTTAAAATCGATGATTCATCAAGTAATTGGCTCAAATGCATTAAAAGTGCCCCCCACCCTCATCAATTGCTGCTTCTTAAGCAATTATTGTTGTTTACTTGGCATTGTTTAGTCATTTAAAAAACAACTTACCAAACATGAAGCAACGTCACACGAGAAGGTTTGGCATTGTACTCACTAGAGGTATCAAAAAATGAATCGTTCATTAATTGACAATCATTTCAAAAGATTTCAGCCTCTCCACAGTAATTATTCATCGATTTGTGTGGCTGACGATCTTTTATATTTCATCAAGATAACACATTTGCAACAACAATGACCCTCTGGACTTCTCTCCAGGCGGTCTGGACCTGAAGTCTCAGGAGGCGGCGTTGAGGGCCGGTCCGGATGTCCTTATCGCCACCCCGGGCCGACTCATCGACCATCTCCACAACACGCCCAGCTTTGAGCTCACGCACATCGAGATCCTCATCCTAGATGAAGCGGACAGGTAGAGCGCAACGCGAACCCTGTGCAGTAAAATAATTTAAATGAATGTCACAAGACTTCACATGAAGCCCAAAATCTCATAAAGAATTAACAAAGGACATTCTTAGTTTTACAAATTTAAGATTGACTGTTAGTTTTTGCGGGGTTTTTTTTTTTAGAGCATTTGCATTTTTATATGATTTTATGAGTCAAAAAATGTGAATCCAACTTTAGTTTTGATCATTTTGCCAAAGTCCCAGTTTTAAAATTAGAACTCTAAAATGCCCTTTTCTGAAATATATGGGAAATGAAACCGATTTTTTTTTTGCCCACTGAACACAGTCTACTGGTATTTTATTTTTAAACGAAAAGATAGAATATTTGTCACATTAAGAATTGTGTAGCACATTAAATCTAAATAAGTGTTAACATTTTTCAGTTTTACGCCTTTGTAAGTCACAATGTCCCATCACTGGTGAGCTATTTTAGAACAGACCCATGGCCTTCTCATGTTGTCCTTGAGGCTGGCTAACTAGTACATGGTGGCACCTAACCCTCCCTCCCCTCCTCCGGGTGTAACTGCTGACTGAGGAGGAGAAACAACAAAGGTACTTGGAGGCAATTCATGTGAAAGTGGAGGCTGGTTTACTCAACTCTGCAAGGCGCCAATCATATTGTTCCTTGCTGAGCAGTCCCCTCAAAAAAGAAAAAGAGCTGATGACCGTGTGTGACAGCCAGTATTAGCGCTTATGACTTTTTTAATTTAAACGCGTGATACATCGTCAAAGCGGTAATCGGCGAGCGAGCTGGCCGGGAAGCGTGGGCCGGCTCAAATGTTTTTGTTTGGTCGTCAGAATGCTGGACGAGTACTTCGAGGAGCAGATGAAGGAGATCATCAGGCTGTGCTCGTACAACAGACAAACCATGTTGTTCTCCGCCACCATGACCGAGGAGGTATCGGCCGTTTATTTTCAGTAAAAGGATTTTCGCTTTGGTGTCAAAATTGGCGGGGGGGTTGAAATACTTAATTTTGTTGAAATATCTTCAAGCATATATAACTACTCCTCCTCCCAGCTGACATATGCGTTGGCATCACTTTATATTGAAGATATCCTTTCCATCGTAACATGACGTCCGCAGGTGAAAGACCTTGCGGCCGTCTCGCTGAAGCAGCCCGTCCGGATCTTCGTGAACAGCAACACGGACGTGGCTCCGTACCTCCGGCAGGAGTTTGTGCGGATCCGAGCCAACCGCGAGGGCGACCGCGAGGCGGTGGTGGCCGGTAAGCGTCGCCTCTCGCCAGATCCCAACGCTCCTGTCACGTCCTGACTTGTCACGCTTGTGTCCCAGCTCTGCTCACCAGAACCTTCCAGGACCATGTGATGGTTTTCACGCAGACCAGGAAGCAAGCGCACCGACTGCACATCCTGCTGGGACTCATGGGCCTCAAGGTCGGGGAGCTGCACGGAGAGCTCAGCCAGAACCAGAGACTGGAGAACCTCAGGTACAGAAGCCAAGAACCCGGGAAATTTTCATTTGGACTCATTTGAGTTCAGGGGCCACATTCATTTTCCAGTCAGATCTTGAGTGGGATGGACCAGTGGATTCCTGGCTTTATACAGTGCGCTATAAATATCGATAAGTCCACAGCCTAGCTTGTAACGTGAATTTATTCGTTAATTTTTCCCCCCACCAATGAATAAACTGCCCAAAGATTACATTATATGCTACCTGGCTGCTTTCAAAAGACAATCTGACTTTTGAGGAAATATAACCACGAGAACTTTGCGCAGGCGTTTTAAGGACGACCAGATTGACATCCTGGTGGCGACGGACGTGGCGGCCAGAGGTCTGGACATAGACGGCGTCAAAACGGTGAGAAGCTGCACGTGGGTCTCCGGGGATTCACAAACGGAGCACGCCGCTCACTGACCACGCACTCATCAGGTCATCAACTTCACTATGCCGTCCACCGTCAAGCACTACGTCCACCGCGTGGGCCGCACGGCCAGAGCGGGGCGCTCGGGACGCTCCGTCTCATTGGTCGGCGAGTCGGAGAGGAAAACGTTGAAGGAAGTCGTCAAGTCGGCCAAGAGCACTGTGAAGGCCCGCGTGCTCCCTCCAGGTAAGCGTGCGCGCACCACGTTGGGTCACACGTTCTTGTAGCAAAACTGCGCTGCGTCCGTTACAGACGTCATCCTCAAATTCAGAGACCTCATTTCCAAACTGGAGAAGAGATGGCTGCCTCGGAGGCCAAGGTACACACACACGCACGCACGTGCACACTGGCTGCTTTTTTTTCTCTTCTTTGACTCAAAAAAAAAAGATAAGGGAAAGGTGCACATGGCTCCGCTCATCGCGGAGAGCCAAGTGTCTTCACAGGCATGATGTCATCTTGAGACCTTTTTTTTTTTCAATTCTGTGTGTGCGTCTGTGTGTAGTTGAGTGTGGCCCAGAAGCGTCTGGATGGCTCCGCCACCAACGAAACTCAGCGAGTTTGGTTCCAGACGCAGCAAGAAAGGAAGCAGAGCCGCAGTGAGTTACAAGTCATCGAAATGTCATGTGTTGATTTCCATTTTGGCTTCTCCAACTTTAAAACGTTTTCTCCGAATGCCCGGCAAGCCTGTGACGTGATTGTAACCTGCCAACCATGCTTCAAGCTCTTGTGTGTGTGTGTGTGTGTGTGTGTGTGTGTGCGTGTGCGTGTGCGTGCGTGCGCGCGCGCAGTAAACAAGGCGCTGCAGGACTTTGACATGGCTCTGCGAGGGAAGAAGAAGCGCGCCAAGTTTATGAAGGACAGCAAGAAGAAAAACATGACGGTCGGTGTCTTTGGAGTTTGTTGCAGCACACCATATGCTCAAATTGTACAAAAACGTGTGCGCTGACAGGGGGTTTGCACATCACAGGCGGAGGAGCGCTCTCAGTTTGAGATCCTGAAGGCACAAATGTTCGCCGAGCGAGCCGCTAAGCGCGAGCGCCGACCCAAGAGAGCCCGAGCCATGGCTGAGGACGAGGAGCAGGCGCCCCCTAAAGGTTAGGAAAATGAACGAATACCCCTCAACGAACCGTGTGCATCCTGCTTACCTGTTGTGTGTGTGTGTGTGTGTGTGTGTGTGTGTGTGTGTGTGCGCAGCCAATCAGAAGGCGAGAAAAGGAGGCAATGCAAGACACAAGTCTGCCTTCGACAAAGAGTTGACCAACGTCAGCAACAAAGCCCTCAAACACTACAGAGCGGGGTGAGAGTTACCTCAAAGTCGGATTTGTATGTTGAGGCACGGGATGCCATACAATTTCAAGATGGTACATTTTTATGTGGAACGATTGGATTTGATAAGCTCTGCCTCAGTTGGAGAGGCTACGACGCCATGAGTTCCTTGATATTTGAACAAATGTTATTGTGAATGGCAAGGACACGTGACAACACGCAAGAGCTCTGCATTGGCGAAGCTATTTTCCATCGGACCATCGGCCGCTTTGTGCTCTATCGAGACCGATTCATTCGTTGGAGTATTCGAATCTTTTCAATGCAAAATAATTTTCCGACTCAAATGAAGAATTACTTTTGAGAGGTTGATGAATATTTGAATTTAAAAAAAATGGATCTAAGCGATTACTGATGGTTGAAATAGTTGTTGAGAATAATTTGGGAATCAATTAGTTGTTGATTAATCGATTACTTTTGACAGCTCTTGACGCTTGCTGGAAGTCTACAAAAACATTATTTCAACTCAAAGTCATAATACTTTAATAATTGAATATGTTTTTTTTTCCAGGCCGTCTTTCGCAGACAGGAAACGTCTTGGTATGGACCGGAGGCGCTCAGGAGGCTCCAGGTACATTCATTTTCTCTTTTTTATCTTTGTCTGCTTCTTTACTTGTTTTGTTTCATCTCCTGCTTTTTCTTTTTGTATTTGTTTTTCTTTTGTTTTTGTTGTTTTCACATGTGTTTGACCTTTGTGGTTGCTTTTGTTTGTCAATCAGGTTCAAGAGGAAGTGAGCAGGCTCGCAAACGTCTTGGCTTGTCTTGGGTGTCTTTGTTGTTCACGCTCATCTAGTTGTTTTGAAATAAAAGTCGAAAAAAAAGAACATTTTTTTGGGTGTGTCTTTATTCATTTACCCCCTTTTTAAATTAATAGCACACGGTTTGACATGGACTCACTCTCTCTCTCCACACCATAGCCTTATTGTTTGAAAATGTCTCTGTCTGGAAACGACTGCGCATCTCCTCGTCCCTTTCTCTCCGAGCCAACAAAGCAAAGCAAATTGTGAGCCTAGAGAAGTCCGCCGGCCTACCTCCTCCCCCG